CTGCCCCCCTATAGTCTTTTAATGTAGAAGCTGCAAGGTCCTGTGTAATCCTGACTTTGGTTCTGTGATATTAACATAGAGATAAGAGAAGTAGGGGGAGATAGAAGGGAGGGCAGATTAGGGGAAGGGGTATTAAGAATGCATGCCATCTTGGGGTGGGGGAGGGATGAGATGGGGGTAAAGTTTGGAACTGAAAATCTTGTGGAAGTGAATATTGAAAACTAAAAAAAAGAAATTAAAGAAAGAGGAAAGTAACTTGGGAAAGAAAGAAAAAGAAAGAAAGAAAGAAAGAAAGAAAGAAAGAAAGAAAGAAAGAAAGAAAGAAAAAGAAAGAAAGAAAGAAAGAAAGAAAGAAAGAAAAAAGAGAAAGAAAGAAAGAAAGAAAGAAAGAAAGAAAGAAAGAAAGAGAAAGTCCTCTATTTCATTGATTATCCATTTTGGGGGGGCAGCTAGGTGGCACAGTGGATAGAGCGCTGGCCCTGAAGTCAGGAGGACCTGAGTTCAAATCTGACCTCAGACCAAGCACTTGACACTTACTAGCCGTATGACCCTGGGCAAGTCACTTAACCCCAATTGCCTAAAAAAAAAAAAAAGATTATCCATTTTTCCCCCTGAAAGATTATACTCAGTTTTGCTGGGCAGGTGGATTATTAGTTTTAATCCTAGGTCGTTTGCCCTCTGCAATATCAAATCCCAAGTCATCTGATCCTTTAATGTAGAAGCTGCTGAATCTTGTGCTATCCTGATTGTGGTTCCACAATACTTGCATTATTTTTTTCTGACTGCTTACAGTATTTTCTCCTTCACCTGGGAACTCTGGATTTGGCTATAATGTTCTTGGGAATTTTCATTTTAGGATCTCTTTCAGGAGGTGATCAGTGGATTCTTTCAATTGCTATTTTACCCTGTGGTTCTAGAATATCAGGCCAGTTTTCCTTGATAATTTCTTGAAAGAGGATGTCTAGGGTCGTTTTTTTGATTGTGGCTTTCAGGTAGTCCCATAACTTTAAAATGACCTCTCCTGAATCTGCTTTCCAGGTCAGTTGTTTTTCCAAGATATTTCCCATTGTCTTCTATTTTTTCATTCTTTTGGTCTTGTTTTATCATGTCTTGCTTTCCCACAGAGTCATTAGCTTCCATTTGCTCCATTCTAGTTTTTTAAGAAATTATTTTAAGGAATTTGTACGTCCTTTTCCATTTGGACAATTCTACTTTGTAAGGAGTCATTATCTTCAGTGAGTTTTTGTGCCTCTTCCTGTGCCAGCTGTTGACTCTTTTTTCATGACTCTCTTGCATAACTCTCGTTTCTTTTCCCCACTTTTCTTCTACCACTGACTTTTGACGCCTTTTTGGAGCTCTTCCAAGAGTTCTTCTGGGGCCTGAGATCAATTCCCATTTCTCTTTGAGGTTTCACATGTCGGCATTTTGATGTTGCTGTCCTCTCCTGAGTTTGTGTTTTGATCTTCCTGTCAGCATAGTAGATGTCTATGGTTGGGGTTTTTTTTTTTTTTTTTTGCTCAAGTTGAGCTCTGCCCCTAGGGTGTAAGGGACTAACCCAAGCTTCTTATGTGAATACCAGGGGCCTGGCCACTGGCCTGATGCATTGGGACCTCCCAGGCTGTGACAGCTCACCTGTTGCACTAGGACCTCCAGGCCTGGCACCTCACATGCTAGCCTCACGGCTAGCCCATTTTGTCATTGATCTGCTGTTCTGGGGACACAGGACCTCAGTTGCTGATCTGTAGTGGGGCTAGGGGCCTCCCACTGGCTTGCCTGGACACTGCCTACACTGGGCTGTGCTCCCCTTATACCCAAATAAGACAGCCTTTCCTTTAGTCTTTCTAAATTGTCTTGGGCTGGAAAATTGTTTCACTCTATCCTTTTGTGGATTCTGCCTTTCCAGAATTCATTTTGAGGCATGGTTTAAAGTTGTTTGGAGGAGAACTTGGGAGAGCTCGTGCAAGTTCCTGCCTTTTTTCCACCATCTTGGCTCTGCCTCCTATATTTACACTTCATAAATTTCACCTTATTCGTTTTATCTAGACATCCTAGACTGTCAAGATTTCTCTGGATCCTAATTGTCATCAAGTTGGCTGGCTATGTCCTAGCTTGGTGTCATCTGAAATTTTATTAGCCTGTCATCTGTGCCTTTATCCAACTCATTGATAAAAAAAAAAAAGTTATGTTGGACAGCACAGGACCAACCATTAATCCTGGGATATCTCACTGGAGGCTTCTTCCAAGTCCATGTGAAACTATTATTAAATGATGACTCCTAAAATTCTAGCCGTTCAACCATCTCTGAATCCACCTAACCAAAGAAGTTCATCTCTTCTCTTTTCTACAAGAATATCCTGAGAGATTTTGTCAAATGCTTGTCCAACCTTTGGGTCAACTGTCTATAGCATTTTCCTAACTTTCCAGTTTGGTAACCTTTTCAGGAAAAAAAAAAAAAGCTAATTGTTACGTTCTGTAACTTCAATTATGCCCTCACTGCAATCTCCTTGCAATCAATAGTTTTGGGCATTCTCCACAACAACTGTCCCAATTATTTTCTTCTCTCTTTGAGCTGCCCAGGTCACCCCTTCTACATACCCTGACTTAAAGGAGGGCTTTGTCTCACAATTTACCGAGGAAAGAGGCCAATCCCCATGAGCTCCCTCTTCTTCCCTTGTCCATATCTTAAAACCCCTTCATATCATTCCCCATTCTCTCCTCTATATAAGTCTCTAATAAAGAGATGGCCCTTCTCAGCAGGGCCAATCCTTCTACAAGTTCCCTTGATCTCATCCCTTTTTCCTTCAATACTATCACCTAATTATCCCTTCTCTAATCTACACTCTCTCTCTACCTACTGGTTTTTTCCTCACGCCCTACAAACATATGCAAGTCCATTTCTTTATTGAGAAACTGTGCCTAGACCCTACCATCCCCTCAATCTACTTGTAACTCTCTCCAGTCATTTGCAGTCTGGCATCTGACATCATTACTCAGCTCTGTCCAAAGTAAGCAGTGGCCCCTAAATTGCCAAATCTAATGGTCTTTTTTTTTAAATCTGCACCTTTCTTGACTGAAATATTTGAAATTGCTGACCATCCTCTCTTCCTGGATGCGCTCTCCTTCCTGGTTTTTTTGTGACATTACTTTCTTAATAATAACATTCATGCAATATTTCAAAATTTGCAAAGGGCTGAGGCAGGATTAGAACCCAGGGCTTCCTAACTCCAAGTTCAACACTTTATCCACTACACTATCAAACTACCTTGTTTTTTATACTGCCTGTCTTGTTCTTCCACCTCAGGTTTCTTTCTTCACTTATCATCCATGTCACACCCTTTACCTGTAAGGTTCTATGTTGGGCCCTCTTCTCTTCTCTCTCTACATTCTCTCTTGCTGGATCAGTGATGCAGTGCACAGCATGATGGACTTGGGAGTCAAGAAGACCTAAGTTCAAATCCTGACTCAGACACTTCCTAGCTATGTGACCTTGGGCAAGTCATTTAGCCCTGTTTCCATCTGGAGAAATGCAGATAATCATAGCACCTACCAACCAGGGCTGTTATTAATCTTAAGTGAGATAACATATGTAAAGTGCTCTGCAAATCTGAAAAGATTGCGTGAATGTCAGTTATTATTGATTATTATATTGGTGTACTTCATCAAGGCCTGGATTTAATCATCATCTCTATGCTGATGACTCCTAGATAGCTATACTTAGCCCTAATCTCTCTTTCTTGAGCTTTAATCACACATCTCAACTGCCTTTTGGACTTTTCATGCTGGATGACTTGCAGGCATCTCAGACTCAACATATCTACAACCCAACTCATTCTCCTTCCCTGAAACCAATTTGTCAAAATAAATAATTAATTAAATAGAAAATAAATTTTAAAAAAAAAACAATTTGTTTTCCAAACTTCCTCTTCTGTTGAAAGCAGCTCTATCCTTCCAAATGAGGTTTGCAATTTCATGTGGTCATCATTCTCAACACTTCCCTTTCCTTTCCTCATATCCAGTCAGTTCCTACATCTTATTGCTTCCACCTCCCCAAAACCCTTCACCTCTGTCCCCTTCCCTCCACTCAAATAGCCACAGGCCCTCTTCACCTCTCATCTAGATTATTATATTAGCCTTTTCATTGACCTCAAGTCTCTTCCCCATTCCAATCCTACTACATGCAGCTGCCAGAGAGATTGGTCTAACTGCATCACATCCTAATTCAATAAAGTCCATTGTTTCCCTTATACTTCAAAGGTCAAAGATGAACTACTGTATTTCATATTTAAAGCCAATGACCTTACCTCCAACTCCTTTCCAGCTTTATTGTACACTTCTCCCCTCCTCATGTGTACTGTGATACAGCCAAATTGGACTTCTTACTCTTTTCACACATGATTCTTCCTCATCTCAGTGCCCATCCCTCATGCTTGGAATGCACTACCTCCCCACCACCACATCTTGAAATCTCTATAGTTCTTCAAAATTCAGTCCAAATGCCACTTTCTTTATGAAGTTTTCCTTGATTACCCAACTGCTAGTTTCTTTCCCCCAAATTCTTTTTTACCTTTTATTTATTGTGTGTGTATATATGTATATATGTACATATATATACATATATGTACTATAAACATACATGCATATGTATATGTATGTGGCACATTGTGAATGTATTATGTATGTATGTGTATGAATATGTGCGTGTATATGTTGTTTCCCCTAATTGAATGTAAGTTTCTTGTCTTTGATTCCCCAGCGCTGCACATATAGGTAAGTTTAATAGATGCTTGTTGACTGCTTGATTGCCGGGCATGACCTGATTTATGGAGGACTGGTCCCAGGTGTATTCTAACCATAGACCACAGCCTAGCATGGCTGGAGAATAGGATGGGACAGGGTATTTGGTCCCATCTTACTGGAATTCCAAAACAGTTCTTTCCCTGTTGAGCTCTGTGTCTACCTATGGACAACACCAATGACCAAGTGACTGCTTTGACCCTCAGCCTCTGCAGCCTGCCATATACTGGTGGTATATCTTGGAGCTCAGCTTCTACCTCTCTTTGCTGCTCACTCTGAACCACGATGTGAAGAGGAAGGTGAGTCTGGAAGGAGCCCAGGTTTTGGGGAAAGCTCTTGTCTTCCCAGTTAAGGGAGAAGAGTAGAGGGAAGAAAAGCCTGGCTTCTACTGTCTGCCCCCATGAGAAAAGTGCCGTGCTTGGTCCTGGCCCTGAAGGCCAGTTGCTGCCAAGCACAAGTCCTTGTCCTACAGAAGCCGTAAGGGCAGACCTGGTCCACTCCACTTGAGCTTGGTAGATTCTGTTAAAGACTGAGTAAGGAGGCCAGAAGCTAAGGAGCCAATTCCATTCTGTTCAATTCAATAGCCAAGGTGCTTTCTCTGGAGCTTCCAACCCAATCACCAGCTCTCCCTCCAACATACTTACTGTCAGCCATTTGACTCTCCTTATTCATCTTCTCCTTGTACCTCACCTCAATCTTTTCATCCTCTTGACAGACTGGAACTTTCCCTGAGAAGACTGTCAATATAATCAGGGCAGAAGAGGTGGGAGGAAACATATACCTAGACTGTGGGTCAGAGTATAACCCTGAATATGGGCAAAGTGAGCTACATCCTCTGGGAAGTAAGCAAGGTCTTCATGGCTACCCTTCTCTTCCCAGGACTTCTATGGGTATATCATCCACCATTTTATGGCTGTCAGTTTGATCTCCTACTCTTATTCTGCGAACTTCATATACATTGGTGTTCTGGTGATGCTGTTACATGATATGTCAGATGTCCTTCTGGAGGTGAGTGAGTCCAGCCTGGAGGAATATAGCTGAGTCCCTGGAAGCCTTATGTGTGCAGACGTCACAGCCTCAGAGAAGGGAACAGAGCTGTCCCTAAATTCCCCCACCATTATTATATTCCATTATTCCCAGTGGGTCAGGAGGCCCTAGCAGAAGAAGGGACTCAAGGCTCATGTGGACCTGATGCCCTCCCTGGGGAGAGGGGGATGACCCAAAAGAGAGAGATGAGACTTGTCGTCTCCATAGCTCTGTCCCTCTGTTGCTGTTGGTTGTTGTTCAGTGACGTCTGACTCTATGTCACCCCATAGACTTTGTCCATGGGGTTTTCTTGGCAAAGATACTGGAGTTGCTTGCCATTTCCTTCTCTAGTGTGTACACATTTCATAGAAGAAGAAGAACTGAGACAAATAGAAGTTAAGTTACTTGCCCAGGGTCACACAGCTAGTAGGTATTTGAGGCTGGATTTGACCTCAGATCTTCCTAACTCCAGGCCCTGTGGTCTATTCAGTGCACCACCTAGCTGTCCCAGCTCTGGCCGTACTGGAGAGTAAAAGTCCAGGGAAATATCTAAAAACAAAACTTAGCTGTGGTTCACATCTAGTGTCTCCCCAGAATAGGGGAGGAGGCACACTAACTGGGTCCCTTTTAAAAAAAAGTTCTCATTATGCAATATGAGTATTAGGTGTAAGACAGCTCTTAATGTCCCCTACCACAGGGAATGCCTGATGCAAAAGACTCTCAAGTGTACATTAGCAAATACAGTCATTCTACGACAATGTGACATAAGCATTCCCAAATAACACAGTGCCTTTCAAAATCTCCAACAAAAAAACACAGAGTTTATGAGGATAATGAGGCTAAAGGCACAAAACTCAAAATTTTATCAGTGACACACCAGAAAAAAAAAGTAGGAATCCAATTTTTAAAAAGCATACACAGTTTTACACATATTAAGTGGTTAAGAAATGCAGAAATAGTACAACAAATGGAGGCTGTGCACTTGGCTGTGGGTTACTACTCCATCGAGGCCCCAGGTGCACAAACAAGCTGGCATGTAGCCATAGCGGAAGGGAATGGGACAAAGGAGGAAGTGGTGTAGACCAGCCTTTCTCTGCTCTTAGCTCTGGCTGTACTAGGAGATACACAATGACACTTTACCTTGACAAAGACCTGAAGGTCAGCAGCAGAGGAGATATCAAGAACTTGGGTTGTAGTTTCTCAGTTACTGTGAAGTGGTGCCATTTTCTGAGCTCTTTCACTGTTCGTTGCAGAAAAAAATTGAGTAGAAGCAAACTTGAAATTCCTGTTCTGCTCAAAGAATTCCCTAATATAGCAATCATGTTGGAACAAATTCTTGTTTTCAGAAGCCACATTATAGCAGCATTGACCATACAGAAACATAAAACACCACCATTAGCTCTCTACATTCATCTTACTCCTCCTGAAAGGCACAAGCACTTTGTGGAATGATGGGACAGATAATTCACACTGACCTCAGGCTTTCATTGTCAAGATCCAGATCTCCTAATCAGCTAGGGCATGGATTACTTTGGTTCTTCAGCTACAGGACTGTTATAGGAATGATTATCTTCTCTGAGAAACTCTTCTCCTTCTGGTAAGTTGATATCTGAATTCAGAACACTGGAACTCTTTTCCTATAAGGTTACCACCAAGGATAGAAATAACTATTTCTCGGGATCACTGGTCTATGACCTGCCCTGCAGAGGGATGGATAGTAGAGAAATCTTTTCCCCAACCTTGCTAGAAGTCCAAGGGAGCAAAAGTGTTAGCAAAGAACCTGACAGTGAAGGGTCCCAAAGGAGAGTTGACACAGATATTTTCATGGCCCACTTCAGGGAACAAGGTTCCATCCCAAGTCTGTCTTTCTGATTCTGTGGACAGTCAACACCTCAGTCATGAGGACTAATCAGGAGTTGCTCTATCATTCTGGCATAGTCGATGTCTCTCGGTAAAAAAAAAAAAATTGTCAGGCACCAGTTCTACCTGTGAGGGGTTCACACAGCAGTACAGTCATCAGGACTCTTGCTTAGCCTTCCTATAGGGACAGGTGGTACCTTTGCGTGGGCTTTTCCAGGTCAGCATTCTTTGATTCTTCCCTCTATAGTCAAATCTTGGCAGGAGTCATGGGGAGGCAGGGTGAGAGAAAAAGATATATAAGTCTTGCCAGGGGATAGAGCTGAAAGAGCAGGAAAGTTGGGTAGGCTGAGCATAGCTCTATAGACCTACCCAGGTCACAGAGGCCCTGAATAACTTGGCTAATAGAATCAATGGTGGCTTTGCTAATGTGCTCATGGCAGAAAGTTAGAGAGGCTGGAAGCAACAGGTTGAATTCCACCAGGGTCTCAAAAGATCTTGCTCTAGGAGAAAGGATGCACAGAGCAAAGGGCTACAGTTGAGATGGGGCAGGGAGAAATCAACTTTGCAAGCAGAAAATAGCAAAGTGTGTCTGAACAATGCTTTCTTTGGAAAAGCCCTGCAGGGTTAGTGGATAAAACATACAATGGGAGTTCAGGGGATGACACTGTCAGCCATAAAAGTTCATGCAGTTTGGGCTGCATTCAGAAATACCCAGTCACCAAAACAGGAGAGGTAAGAGTTAATCCAGACATGAATCAATCAATCAACAAGCATCAATTAAGTGCTTGCTAAATACCAGTCACTTAAGGTGGTTTGCCTCAGTTTCCTCATCCTTATACTCCAGTATCTTTGCCAAGAAAACCCCAAATGGGGTCAATGAGAATCAGACATGACTGAAACAACTAAAGAATAACAAAACATACATGCTATCTATTATTGTTGTTTGTATATATTAATTATATTTTTTGAATGAGTTTGAGGAACAGGAAATAGGCCAGACTTGGTTAGAGAATAGAGTATAAGAAGGTGAGTAATAAGTTTAGAAAGGTAAGTTGGGGCTAGGTCATGAAGGGCTTTGAATGCCAAACATGGGGATTTATATATGATCCTGGAGATTATAGGGAGCCACTGGAATTTTTGAGCAGTGGATTGATGGACAGTGGACCTGTCCTTAGGAAGATTACTCTGGCAGCTGAGCGGAGAAGGGACTGGAGTGGAGAGAGACTTGAGGCAGGGGGTCCAATTAGGAGGCTGCTTACGGTAATCCAGGCAAGAGGAACTAGCCTTAATTCTGGTGGCTGTGTAACTGGAGATAAAAAGATATAGATGAGACATATTGTGAATATGTGTATGGAGCGGGGTGGGGGGTGGCAAAAGTGAGGAGTAAAAGACGACAGTAGGGTTTCAAATCTAGTGATTAGAGATGTGGTGCCTTTGAGAGAAATGGAGAAGTTCCAGAGAAGGGTGGATTTAAGGGGGATAAGATCTACAACAAATGTTACAACCCATCCATGTGGGTTTATCCTGTGACTAGCTCTGTCCTTTGCAAAATAAGAAGGATGGGGTTGGGCTATTTCTCACTGGTCAATGCCCTGGAACTCAGCCCAGCCTCCAAGGGGCATCTTTAGGCTGCATATAAGAAAAAGCTTCCTAAGGTACAAAGCTCTCTGGAAGTAGAACGTATGATCTGTAAGATATGAGCTCCCCATCATTGTAGGCCTTCAGGTGAAATGATGGCTTGTCTAGGGGGGCTCTTGGACAAGTGTAGGCTGTACTAGATACCCTCTGGGGCTCCCTCTGAACTCTGGGTTTGTGTGTTACCAAAATTCCCTCTGTTGTCTCCTTCTAGGCTGCTAAGATGATAGCTTACGCAAAGTGGAAGCAAGCTCAGAACGTCACGTTCATCCTCTTTGGCCTGGTGTTCTTTGTTACCAGACTCATTTTCTTCCCAACCAAGTAAGCTGGGTTCTAGGAGGTGGGGTGGGGTGGGGGGAGGGCAGGGAGGAGGAAAGTAGTTTGAGTCCTAGGGACCTTTTGCTGCCAAAAGCTGCCTCCTAGAAAGAGGAGTGAGCCTCCTGCCTGACAAGTCCTTCTATGTGGGAAAAAGATGAGATAAGGTCAAGCCAGGGGTCCTTTGAGGATCCCTGTGGCTTTTACTCTGTCCCTGCCATTTTTGGGGGGAGAGCAAGTTGTTTCTGATGACCAAGGCATCTGAGCCCTGGCAGCCTGCCTCCTCCCTTCCCACATTGTGACCCCCAGTTCCTCTCTCTCTTACAGAGTCATCTACAATTCCTACTGTATTTTCCAGAACAACAACCAATTCTTCTTTGGATATTATTTTTGCAATGCCCTCCTGATGATTGCACAGAGTCTTAATCTCTTCTGGTTTTTCCTCATCCTCAAAATGTTCTATAAGCTTTTATCACAGGGCCAGGTAAGTACAAAACTTGTCCCCCCAACTCCTGTCCATCAACAAAGGAGAAGGTGAGGAAAGAGGAGGAGTACTGGAGGTGGAAGTGGAGCATGGAAACTCAGGCCTAGTATCCTAGTACCAATAGGCACCCAAATACTACCAGCAAGACATCTTACCCAATGCCCTTGTCTTTCCAATCTCAATCTCAATCTCCCTCTCTCTCTCTCTCTCTCTCTCTCTCTCTCTCTCTCTCTCTCTCATTTCTATCACCTCATCTCTGTCCATCCTTCTTTTCCACTCTGTCTCACCCTACATACTCAGTCAGGTGCCAAATATTATCACTTCTACTTCCACAATATCTCACCCTTCTAATCCCTTCTCCATTCACACACCCATCATCCCTCACAGTACTGAGAAGTGGTTTTCCCAAACCACAGGTTAGACCATAGAGAAAGGAGATGATAGAGAGAACAGTATGCCGAAGAAGATGGAAAGAGATGAGATCAAGGGTGTATATCAAGGAGTTTGCCTTGGCAAGGAGGAAGACCACCATTTTTATGTGAGAGAATGGTGAAGGAGAAGATGCCTGAGTGATGTGAGAAGAAGAGAGGGGGAGATGAGGGAGCTCTCATTGCATGACTTCAATTGTTTCAGTGAAGTAGGTCCTCAGCTGAGAGAGTAAAGGGAAGAGTACTATGAGAATCCTAAGGGATAAAAGGTTTAAAATTTCCATTGTGCTAAGTAGTCTACAAATCAATTAGGAAAGTGTAAACAGATTCTCTTCTTCAGGGAGAACCCAGTTGATAATGTGTACCATAAATTTGTAGGGGAGCTCAGTTATTATGGCTCTTTGATTCTTCTTGACCTCCAGTCAGCAGCAGATGAATAAGAATAACGGAGATGGATGTTGGGAGTAATCCAAGGTTAGGGTTTGCGAGAGTATGATAGCTATTAGGACAAGGAGGCAAGAGATTAAAATAGAGACGATACCATCCAGTTGGACTGAGTCACCAAGGGGTCAAGAGAGGCAAAGAAGGAGAGTGTAGCCAGTGCAAGGGGTGATAACCTCATAAGGAACCAAGGAGTGGGGTTTGGGGAGGAGGGAACTGGAGGTCACTGTGAAGAAGAATAAGGTTGGTCATTGTAAAGCAGAGAGAAGAATGGAATAATAAAAGATTATGATTAGATAAGAATCTCAGAGTTTATGTACATGAAAGTGGAATATTTGTGAGCGATAGCAAACTGATGGATATGATCATTTCTATGTGTGGCTGAGGTGGAGAGAAGGGATAGTTCATGGGAGTTGTGTAGTTGAGTTAGAAAGTTAAGGTGTTTAAGGGAGTATCAGCAGGTATATTGAAGTCCCCTAGTATGAGAGTAGGAGTTTTGAGTGGGGGTAAGAAACACAGAACTCATTGAGGAAAGAAGGAAGGAGAATACTCTGGTTGATTGATAATAGCCACTAGGACATAGATTGGGTGATAAATTCATTCACTGAGTAAAGAATAAACTCTCCTCCCCAGTGAATGAATGAATGAAAAAACACTTATTAAAAGCCTTAACATTGTACTAAGCTCCAGAAATACCAGTAAAAAAAAATTGAGACTGTACCCTTAAGAAAGAGCAGACAATACATAGAGGGCAGTGGGCCAGAGAGGTTTGTTTTGGTTTGAGAATAGCTAGCATTTATGTAGTGATTTAAGGTTTGCAAAGCACTTTACAAACATTACCTCATTTGGGAATCCATTGGGATTATGAAGGGAGTCATAATCTATCAACATGCCATTTCCTGTAGCAATGGAATGTTGACGCATATTTCAAAGCTGGAAATCAGCAAAAGGGGGTTTTAGGGTTCACACATTGCCAGGGCAAATGCAAGGTCTGGTAGTCCAGAGGGTGAAACAGCAGGTAGCATCAGTGACCAGGCAACAGTGACCAACCTAGTAGCTCCCTGGTACCACCAAAAGAAAGTATAGACTTAATTTATCGTTTAAAACCTTGCACCATTGAGCCCTTGTCTACTTTTCTAGCCTCACTATACATTGCTCCCATTGCTTTACTCACAACTCTGTTTGGCCAAACTGGCCTTCTTGCTATCCCTCACCCAGGATGGTCCATGTCCCATTTTTCTGTCTTTACATGTGCTGTCTCCTCATGCCTAAAATGTAATCCCTGCCTCACGTCTACTTCTTAGAATTCCTTATTCCCTCTAAGACTCAACTCAAGTATCACCTAAATTAGGCATTTCCTGATTTCCTCCCTACCCCCACCTTCTACTGCCCTCCATCTCAAAATTTCCTCGTCTATTTACTTTGCATGTATTCTACATATAATTTTATAAGTGCAGGCTATTTCTCCCAATAGAAAGGCCTGTTGCATTTTAGTCTCGGTTCCTCCTTTGCTTTGTATGGTAATTAGTGCATGCAGGGGTTTAAAAGACGCTTATTGATTGATTGTCCCTATGGTTCTCAGGTAAAGGGTGATGTAAGGAGTGACCTAGAGGAGCCAGACCTGAGTGATGAGCAGTTGACAGTGAGACAACAAAGCAATGGAAGACTCCAGTTCAATGATGCCACAGATATTCGGGCCCGGGGGGTTCGAGGGACTGGCCAGCTCACAGAGGCTGTCCCTGTAGCATAACCTAGACGAGCTTAGTGAAGATCCCTGGATAAATGGTCTCCTGAGAAGCAGTTTGAATTCAGGTCCAGGCCACACCCAACACTGCTGCCTTGGTATGGTACATTAAACTCCTTTTGTCTTATTTCCTGAGTTTTCACCATTACAGCATACAGACTGAGCAAAAAAAAATAATTCCTTTTAGCAATTTGATGAGCCAGCCAGGATGGGTCATTTGCTAGCATGATTGTCACTAAGGAAGTCTACTTTGCCTGCACAGCTGACACTCAGACTTTTGTCTGATCACAGATGAACTCTCTCAGCAGTTAGCCATGAAATGGTTAGAGAATTAAATTCCTTAAACTCAGGAAGGATAAGGAGAAATAGGTCCAGAACCCAAAACTGATTCTTTATCTTTTGTGCTTGAAGAAAAAGAACTACATGATTGTGGAAATGGAACAGTGGTGAGTAGATGGTCTTCCTTAACTTTAGGTTGCCACAAGGCAAGGTGATGCTAATGTTAATATGGGACCGGAATAGGCTAAATCTCAAACTCTTAAAGGCTGGGATAAGATAAAACTGCATGTTCAACTGAGAATGTCCAAAGCACGTGACTGGACTTGGCACTTAGATAATTGTGGAAAGCAAATTTGACCAGATAAATGTGGGACCTTTGATTTTTGTCAGCTGAACATGGTAAAAACCAGGCCTGAAGGACTGGAGCCTTAAAAAAAAAATGGATTATTGGTACTATGAGGAAACACTTTCAAGCCAAGACTGCTGGTCATGACCATGTCCATATAATCCAGATTTCTCAAAAACAACAACAACAACAACAACAGAAAGACCCTGGCACTCTTAAAAAACTGCTTTTGTAGGGAATAATTAAAAAAGAAGGAACTTCAGAAAGAGAAGGAAGTAAAGATTTAATTAGGTACATTTTGCTTTAAAATGGATGATAATACTAACTTGCTTTGGAGAGGGGGAGTAGCAAAGACATCTTAAGTTGTTCTTATCTGTGAAGTTTTTAGGACTTTTTATTCACACAGGGTCATAAGATCCTATCAGCCCTGACAGTATGTTATAAAATGTTAAAATAAAATTTAAGAAACTAGGACCACTCCCATCTGAAGTGGAGGGGACTTATAAGTTTGCTTATACTACAGAATGAGTTTCATCTGAGATGTTTGACCATCACTTATGAAAATTATGAAATTTTATCTATTAATGGACAGTATGTTTTGAAGTTACATCTGTAAATCAACTTAGTAACAATAGACCTTAGATTCAAAGATTTCATTTTGCCTTAGGGGTAATGAGGCAATACAGATTGGAGGATTACTGCAATCAGCATTTTTCTGAGGTTTTGAGTAAATTATCATGTATTTGATCTATGTATAAAATTCTAGAGTGTGATATTCTTAATTTATAAATGGAGGATAAATGAAATGTCACTATATGCACTCATTGTTAACCATTATTCCAACATGAGAAAGATAATAATAATGTCCTAGACTTAAGCTATGTTAGTGAAATTTTGCTACTTGAAGCAAACTCTCTTTGGAACAGTAATTTGGCATTGTTCTGAGCTTTTATTTCGGACAATGATTATCTGAATTGACATTAAGCCATGAGTCTACCATTCAAGGGGAATGCTATGTACTACCAAAAGGGAGCATGGTTTGAGAACTGCTACAGCTGAACGTGCCTGGGAAAAGTGAGGGAATGATCTTGTTTAGGCAAGGTAGCATCTTCTTGACTCAATTTCCCCATTGTGCTATTTTCTTTCTGAACAGGAAATCTTCCATTTGGTTAATTCTGAGCCTGGATTTGGTACCCTGTGAATAATGTGGGATTTTGCTATGTGATTTGCTGTTGACTATGATTCTTACCTGGAATCAAACAGAAATAAGGGATAGTTTCTCCTGTTATGGCTAATGTAAGATCAGTCTATGCCCTTGAAGGGACAGTCTTGATAATGTCATAACCATGGCTCTCCCTTTTCCCTTCAGGGCAAATTTTATTATTAGTGTAGACAAATGGTGGAAGTTTTGTCATTGCAATACTAGATCTATTTATTAACATATTAATACTAAAATGCCTGATTTACTGTATAGGATGCAAGGGTGAAAGACTTTAACTATTTTTTTTTTAGGCAATTGGGGTTAAGTGACTTGCCCAGGGTCACACAGCTAGTAAGTGTCAAGTGTTTGGTCTGAGGCCGGATCTGAACTCAGGTACTCCTGACTTCAGGGCTGGTGCTCTATCCACTGTGCCACCTAGCTGCCCCTAAGACTTTACTATTTTTAATCTTAATTTGTAGTCAATTCCATATGCTGATCAACTAAATAAATGAAAAATGAGTTCTTAGGCTTGACATCCCTTGCTAATAGTCGTATATTCATGTATAAGATTGTTTCCTTGAAGTATCTCATTCCCCAGGATGTTATGAGAATAATATATTTATCCTCAAAAAGAGAAATAGGATAAAGATGCAAAGTGTTTTAAAATTTTACTGAAGTTGTAAATTTTGGAAAAGCAATAAGATTAAACTGTTAGAAATCAAAGCTCTGGGATATGTATAAATTATTGTCTTCCAAATGTTTCTAATGTATATATAGGTTTTGAGTATGTTCTAGTAATAAATTCTACAACTGGATTGAAGATTTTACATGTAAGATTACATTAATAATCGTAAAGATTTTAAAATGGTCTTTTTTCCTATTATGAAGTCTCTGATAATATTAAGGGACAGAATGGTTCATTTTCCAAGTCGGGTTCTCTTCCCTCAGCCTGTGGATGACATTGTCCATGTCAAATACTGGGTCTGCATAAAGATAGAAAGAGAAAGCGCAATGTGAAAACTTAAATTCTTTGAAGCTTCAGGTGAATTAGGGGTTCCTAATTTCTTTCTTATAACTCTGTTGTTAATAGGATTAGATTGATAAGGTCTGAACAGGTTTTTGCCATGTGAACTAATTACTGAAAGGCCAATCCAATTAGCATACCTACAGAATCTCCACAAGTGACCTGGAACCTGGAGCTGGTCTCAGAAATACCTCCACAAACCCCCTAATCCCTGCACAGATGTTTGAGAGACACAGGAGTTGCTTACCATACTCCTGAAGATCATGGACTATGCCAAAGGACTTGACGTCCCTAAGGCTGCAACTATATTTGGTTTCTTTATTCACCCTATTGTAATTTTGCTTGTTTTATTACTTTTGTGTGCGTTGTGGACCTATTACCTATTCTGTAAGATGCTTATCATTTCTGCTTGAAAGGTTTGGGAACCGAGACCCTTGTACTGCAAGTTTGCTGGTCATGGTTTGCCCACAGAGTTTATGCAGAAGCCCATCTTGTGGTCTCTAGCTGCCCTTCTTGTCAACAGTTTAACTCCTCATAGAAGACTGTCTCTGCCCTTCTGTTCATCTCTCTTATCTTGTTCAGGGGGCCTGCTTTCTCCCTTCTTCCAAATTCACTTATTTTTACAGAAGGCATCACCAATCTTCCTGTCTCTCCCTCAATTCCACTCTCTCCTCTCATATCCAATCAACTGCCAAATCTTATAGGTTTCATTTTCCTATCTCACATCCAGTCCTTTATGTCTACTCATAGGTACCAATTTAGTTCAGGCCCTCATTACCTCTCACCTCCTAATTGGTTTCTCTGCCTCAAATCTTTCCTCACTCCAATCATCCTGTATACTGTTTCCAAAGTAATTTTCCTTAAGGGAAGATTTAATCATGTGACTCTCCTACTTAATCCATATGGTGGTTTGCTATTGTCCCCAGAATAAAATGGAAATTACTCTGTTTAGTTTTTAAAGCCCCACACAATCAGACTCTAATCAGGGCTTGAAGAGAGCTGGCCATTGCTTTGTATAAGTTATCACTAGCCAACATTTACTGAGTTTTCTTATGTGCTAAACTGGGGGGGGGGGGGGAAGAGAGGAAGGACATCTGTCCCTATCCTCTGGGAGCCAGCCCTCCAGTGAAGCAGGAAAGAACAGGCAGGTGGCAATAAAAAGATTTCTATTAGATACATTTCTTCCTTAGTACAATAAGGGATTGGACCCTGAGCTCTCCTCTCCTGGACCACCAGACTTTGACTGAGTCTGAGTTTAGCAGGGTCCAGAAATATGTGCTTACAGACTGTCCCATAAGGAATCATAAAAATGAAGAACACAGAAATTATCAGATGACTTGGAAACTGATGTCATATGAAGTAAACGTGTTAGAAATAAGACCTTAGAGAAATAAAGCCTTCTACTTAAAAACAAAACTAAGCTCAGAGTGAGTGAAGAATCATTTATTACCCTTCTCAAGAGAAAAGCAGGCACAACGCACTTTAGTAGCATGTGGGCACTGGCTCAGTGGTAGAATCAACTTTTAAACCATTAGTAAGATCCATACTCCATCCATCAGGGCTCCTATTGGTCTAGTTCATCTGAGTTACACCCTTCCTAGACAGTCCATCGCATGTTCCTCCATGTTCTATTAACTCCACACACTTCATGGATCCCATGTTTTAAAAAATGGCAACTACCTCCACCCTTGGGGTGTGTCAGTTCATATTCAAAAAGCCTTTGTCTGGTTGAAGCCCCATCGTTGAACCCAGTTGCTTGCAACTGGTTTAGCCTCTAAGGCTCTTTCTTAAGAACTAGTTGTTTTTGGAGTACTTTCTGATTGGTTGAGGGACTATCCACAATATCTTGGAATTTCTTATCCTGCTGTGGAAGCCTCACCCCCTAAAATCTTTCTTACAATTCCCTCCTTCTATTTTCTAGTAAAGATTTGACTTCCACACATTCCCAATTTCCTTATCCTCTAATCTCTTTAACATGATTTCCCATTCTCCATCACTGGGGAAGGTCTCATTGGTACTTTCAATCATCATCCTGATATTGCCAGAGCTTGCCATCTGAGCTCCCACTGTGGGTTCTACTGGGATAATCTTAGTGAGGGATATCTCTAACAGTTGTTGTACCAGTCCTCTAATGCATGGAACTCTACAACATCCTACAATATTTCAGCCACAATTAGGTTAGCAATAATGGATAAAGCCATTCCTTTTCCATTTGTCAAACCAGGATTCTAACCATTCCTTTAATGAATTATCTATCCCAGAGTTTTCTGCTAACTC